GTGACTCATAAAAAACAAGGTATATGGTAACATTCCCGTTAATATCTATAATTCTTGTAGTTCGTTGTAACTTAAATCGATGTTTTAATTATAGTATATTTATTTGTTTCTTAGGTTTTCACGCACATCACTCATTAAATAAAACTAGTTTTTACGGGTTAATGCACGAAACTTTATTTATTTATTGACGTTTCGTAGCCTTTACAGGCTTCGTCGTCAGAATAAAACTTTTATTTAATTTATCGAGCTACCTTCGAAAGACTTTTATTGAGCGAAACGTCAATAAATAAATAAAGTTTCGTACATTAACCCGTAAAAACTAGTATAGTGTTTTTTTTAAAATTAAGTTATTGATAAGTAAAGTTGAATTGATTGAATGAAAGGTAAATTGTATTAAAAAAAATACTTACTAGATATCGTTTAAACCAATTTCGGTGGAAGTTTGCATGTTAATGTACATCATATATCTTTTTTAGTTTTATCATTCTCTTATTTTATAAGTTACAGGAGAGGGGACAGACATTGTACCACTTTGGAAGGGTATTTCGCGCAAACTATTCAGTTCAGAAAAAAAAAATATTAGGTAAAAATCAATATATTTTTGAAGACCTATCCATAGATAGTCCACACGTATTTGGTTACGGAACCCTAAAAACGCTCACTTAGCTAAGACTTTTTGATGAGTATATATCTATATACATAAAACTCAAATGTGACTGACTGACTGACATAGTGATCTATCAACGCACAGCCCAAACCACTGGACGGATCGGGCTGAAATTTGGCATGCAGGTAGATGTTATGACGTAGGCATCCGCTAAGAAAGGATTTTGATCAATTCTACCCCGAAGGGGATAAAATAGGGAATGAAAGCTTGTATGAAACTTTGTTAATTTTAAACCGATCGGGCTGAGACTTTGCATGCAGGTATAAGAAGAATCATAGATGAATGCCATTGTGTATAATACAAGCCTGAGAACAAAAACTGTAGTCTACACTTCAGCTCTACACCGAAGCGAAGGGAGGGCGGGCCGCTAGTATAATTATATATACAAAACAAAAGTGTTGTATTTCGCGTAGTGATAAGCGTAAAAGTACGGCTTGCGTTCGTTGAAGCTATGCAACTTACGCAATGGCCGGTAATATGATGCGTTATAGAGAGTATTTGGGTACACCAAATAAATACAATCTCCTCAGGTTATAGAATAATGGGTTCTTTTGTTCTGTAATCTGACACTCTTCCGTACTCCGAAAGGTGTGCGTGTGCAGTGGTTAGACCCACCAAATCGCAATAAGCCAGCTACTTTTAAAACTGTGTCGCCTGCTCTTTGCAATATTGCTTTCAAATCTCAACAGTAATGTTCTTTTATGTTAAGATAAATTTTATTTTTGAAGTGAAACTTCGTTTCGGACCGTGTGTAAATGGAAAAATCACGAGCGTCACACAACTATAATTATAATGTATTGTATTCTGCAACACAGTTTTGTAAAACTATAGCAAATTTATTGTTTTAAACTTTCATGGACACTAACATTATAAATATCAACGGGATTGTTATCATGTACCTTGTTTTACTCTGTGATTATGGCGCTTGCAACAGTGCCGAAATATCGGAGACTCATAAAAAACAAGGTACATGGTAACAATCCCGTTAATATCTATACTTAGCAGATTTAACGTTTCGTGATTGTATGTGCAATGGACTTGTTCCAAATAAAGTTAATATGTATTATTATTTAAAAAAATGTCTATGCCGTGCAACACATATAACATATTTACATATGAATAATCTATCTTAGTGCAATTAATATCACTTAACTACACAAACAACCACGTACTTAAGCTATAATAATATGATTTTGTCCCATTCGGTGTCGAGACCCTTGGTCCGTGGGGTCCTAGCGCTATGAGGCTTTTTAAAAAAATAGCGAAAAGATTAGTCGACATCACAGGAGACCGTAGAGCTGGCAGCTACCTCGGACAAAGAATAGTATCTTCGGAACCTTGCCTAAAGGGACTCCTTTTAATAATGTATTTTAGTTATTATATTTTATTTTTTAAGGTTTTTAGTTTTAGGTTCATTGTTATAGTATATTTTTTGTTTTAATTATTCTTAAATTTATTCATATTGCACCATATTGTTGTAAATTAAATAATATTTTTTTTTTACTTAAGCTATTATGTTGAACAGCTCCTCAGTCACATCGTAACTTTTAGTATCCATTTTTTAGAGTACAATTTTTTATTTTTAAATTATACATAGATGTTAATAGAATTATAATTTATTTATTTGCATTACAATGGGGTACACTGGAGATCTTACAAATACAAAGTTCGGCCCATTCTGCCATTCACAATAGCATGCAAATATTAAACAATACCTACATTAATTACATTAAGCCAAATTTTGAATATATACATTTTTTTTCTACTTAATGAAAAAATATGATTTTTAAAACTCAAATTTTGATCAATTAGAACACCCACGTTTTTAACCTCACTTAAACGTTTTTAAGTTGCATTTCTCTATATTGACTTGCAAACATTTGTCAGCCTTGATTGATAGCAAATCAGAAATTTTATTTATATTTGTTATAGAAAAACATATATAATTAGTTTTATCGTATTCAGTGTAAGTAAATTGTTTCGAAGCCATCTTGAAACGATACTAAGACCATTTTGAGCTAGTTCAAATGTCTTTTCACACGTATCTTTTGCAAATAATTAAACAGTGTCGTCTGCAAAAGATATAAGTTTTCCAGATTCGTTTCAGAGTAGATTGTGGGTGATATCGTTCTTAGATAAGGAAAACTCTTAACTGATGTGGAAACGGCAAGTTTGTTTTACTTTCATAGCATTATGTCATATGGCCTTTATTTGTGGTGCTCAGCTGTATTTTCATACTGCAAATCAGCTGTTAGTGCCACATACAACTTAAAGCAAGAATATCACTTACAGGAAAATTTAAAGAAATTATTATTTTAACATTGGCATCGCAGTATATTTGTAAAAAGAAAAAACTATGACGCATTTGCAGAATAAAATAAAACCCATACCTTTATCACGAGATTTAAGAACAAGCTTGACGCTTCATGTTACAGACTCCAAAAATCAAGAGGCTCATTTCTAGGTTTTAGTATTGCACTGTTTAATAAAGTTCCCCAAGATCTGATGGAGCTCCCACTGACCAAAGGACATTGCTCAGCGTCCATACATAGTTAGCCTAAGAACCAACAATCATGAAATATTATTTTCTAGGTTCAAAGTCGTAAGTAAATGACTGGAAAAACAAAGACGGACACTTCTGAGAACTTAAATTATTAGGAAAACTACAATTTTTTTGAGGTTATGTTTAATATTCAATGAAACATAGGTCAACCTATGAATTTAGTATGAACTCAGTATGAAGTGAATTAATATTACAACTAATTCATTTTATTCGGTGCTATTTTAAAGAATAACTATTAGGAAAAAATGGTTGCCTGTAAAGTCGGTTTTACGGGCGAAGATTTTACGTGACAACGTCTTTTTCTCGGTAGAATATTTATTGATATGAATATAATTAAATTGCACAATAGGAACAAGGAATTGAATGAAAATAAGAATTGCACAAATTTTAACTATAGAAATATATTTTGTTTACTAAAACATTGTACATGTAAACTTAAACTTAACACGAGAGACTCATCGTAACGTTACCGAGCGTTACACTTTTTCATAAGTGACTCCCAGCCGCAACCTAATTTAAGACGTTGTCACGTCAAAACTTGGTTAGGTAGGAATCATGAATAAAATAAAAACTGTAGTTTTGCTTCTTATTTAATGACTATTTTTCACTTAATTGTATCATATTGTTTATTGTATGTATTTGTATATCACATTATATTGTGTAAATATGCAGCGTGAATGTGTATCAGGTGTTCTTGAATAATTTGGCTATTATTATTGATTAGATCCTCTCAGGATGTGGCACAGGTTCACTAGCACTTGGTAATAAGGGCTCTGCTCTTTGGTAATATCGATGGCATATTAGATAGCCGATATAGTTAAATTAAAGGAAAAACAATCGCAAATAAACACACACAACAGGTAATCCGAAACGAGAATGCACTTTCCGGTATATTATATACTACTCTTTGGAATGCACGAATGCCACAGATTACTACAAATGAAAACTGCATGCACCACAACCACAGAGTAAAGAATTTTATGCCGGCCCTTCTCTTGACAACAGTTTGTCCTTGTCATGCTTAGTAAGGAATGAAAAGGACAGACTGATGTCATGTTTTAAAATAGCAAATACGAATAACCAAGTGAAGTGCCGACATTAGGAAGAAAAAGTGTTTTGTTTGCAGCGCTGCCATAGATTATACACATAAAATGGTATTTATTTGTCTCAGATTATTTTTTAACTTTTTAATTTAGCTAACTTAACTGGAAGTGTCCGTCACAATCTAAATACTGATAATTATCGCAAAAAATATACTAAGAATTATCATAAATGCCAAATTGGTGTTGGTTCTTAGGCCAATTTTAACATTGTCCTTTAAATCTCAGATCAAGAATACTTTTATGAGTAAGGGATATTATAAAGTTGATGATTATATCCAAATGATCATAATGCATGGACGTAGTGTTTCTTTTAACCGACTACCACTTTTGAACCATCTCCTTTGTACGGAACCCTCGGTGAGCGAGTCTAATTCGCACTTGTCCGTTTATTCTAAACACAGCATCGCAAACCTAGTCAAGGTTTGCGACTTCAAAGAATCTTAAAATAACTGTTCATAAACATTAAAAACACTAAAGCGCAGTCATTGTTACTTTTGGCAACTTGTCTGCACATTCAATAATAAAGACTGCATTCCTTATTTTTTGGAATCCCGAAAGTGAATTTTACGCAAAAAACCGGTTCCGCATCATCCAATGAAAAGAAAGCTTTAATTGCAGCAGTGTTGAGTCGATAATGATTGATTGGGGGTACCCTAGACGTGTCGTCATGAGTGATACGTCATCGGTGCAGCTGAGAGTTTTAAAAATGACCTTTATTTGGTTCGAGATAAGGTGGGGATTACGCCAACTCACCCGGTGGACGCCGGGAGGGCGCGGGGTATCGACCGCGCGCCTCCCTGTCAGACGCGACCCAGCGCGCGGCTGCGATGCACACGCGGGGGAAAATGCCCAGCACACACTCGCAATGTGTTGGCGACAAGTGTCAAAATTGCAAAAGACTTTCCTCATAGTGCTTACGTACTTGACGATCTATCTGCTAGTTTCGTACGCTCTCACGCCCGACACGCGAATGATGTTCGTGCGGGACGAAATGAGAATCGGTGATAAGTTCGCGTTTGTTTACGTTGCCGCACGAGCGCCGGTCTTCACTGACACCGAAGGCGCTGCGGTGTTCCAAGGATGCGGCAACTGCTACCTGACCAATAACAAGGGCTTTCTGCCCATAAGTGAATACGATGCGGTTCTCGTGCACGGCGACAGAAGCCTCTTAATGGACGCGGCCTTCATGGATCCAGCGAAGCGGTATCTATTGGAGAGCTCGCACGAATGCATCACCAGCAAGTTCAAGAAGTGCCGGCGGGAGCCAAAGATAACCTCGTTTAGCAGTAAGGAGAGTTACGACTTATGCAGTCTCTGCGAGAGCCTTCTCAAAAAGCGCCTTTGAATGACGAGTAATGAAAATGTGATAATAATTTTAGTTTAGGGAATTGCCTTGCTAGGTTGTATTGTGGAATGGGGCCTGCCAAACGTTACAAATGATCGTAGATTAAGGATGGTGCTTAGCTCGAACGCCCGGTTTCTATATTTAAAGATGACCTTCAGTTGCCTGTTCAAATTATTTTAAATTCCGCAGCGTTGACATTCGCAGTGTCTGTATTGTGTAATATTGACATAATACAATAAAAAATTCTTGCTTTAAACCGACCTCCCTACAACTGTACTAATTTACTTAGAGTGACATCAATCCTATTATTAAAAAATTGATACTAAAACACCACGACTAAAGATAAACTTGATTTTACAATAATTTAACCGCGACGATTTAGGTTGCTAAATTTCTTAAAAGGCAATGTTTTCCTAGTGATAATAAACCTCTTTGCTTGGCATCATGACTGAGTGACTTACCTATTGGATTCTATAAATGGTTATCTGGAATATATGAACTGGGATATTCTTCATTGTTGTCTGTTTTATAATTATTAGCGATATCTTTGTAAGTATTAAGTATATGTTGAGTTTGTTAGCATTTTGTGTGGATGAATGAGCATTAATGTTTCGCGTTTTCTACAGCTGTTTAGTTGGTGTTATGTGTACCTAATTATAGCGATAGATGGTCTTCTAACGGATCTCAAACATTTTATTGTAAGCTGATGAGTCAAATTTATTTGGTTCAAGAGTTATTAAAGTGAAACCTTCATTTTACATCACCACAAATTATTTCGTTAATTTTTAAGCATGTCGCATTAAATTTTTATTTTCTAATGAATAAATTAGGACCTTATCAATAGGCATCCATTGTTTAGTGGTAGAAAACTGGCATGCCACGCGGGCAATCCGAGTTCGATTCCCATCCGAGAAAACACATTTTTTATTTTCCACTTCTTATAAGCTAGTTACATCAAATAACTAAGTATAGGTACCGGGACTGTTTAGAATTACTTAAGTTTTTGAACGATAGGGCCATATCGTTTTGTAGCATTTGCTGAGCAGTTTGTATATTGTGGTCTGCCGCTATGAGAAAAATGTCGCCAGCGAAGCGGTACACAGTGCATTTTGTTATATATTTTTTTAAATCATTTACATGCTAAGTAGTGCAAAGGTCCTAATATCGACCCCTGAGCAGTTCCTACTGGAACTGTTTTTGGTTACTGTATCTGTTTACAACTTTCACACAGTAACTACGATTTTTTTTGTACGATAGATGGCAGGAATAGATCCGGCTCGAAGGTCCAATGTTTAGTGTAAAATGGTAATCTCATTCTAAACAGGGACTGCATTATCTTTTTTGTATCTCTTAAAATTTGAGGCGATGTAGAACACTGGAAGTTTCACTAATTTCATGAAAGTAAGTAAGTAACTTTTCTATAGTCATTCATTATTTTTGTAATATATTGAAAATTAAAGTCTTGTTCTGTAAATCCCTTAATATTGAAGGATGCGGGTTCGAGTCCCGTCTGATGCCTGGTCCGCGTTGTTTTTTTTTCTAGTAAATTTTTTTTTTAGATTTAAACATGCTTAATTGACTAAATTAATTAAGTATAATGCTACTTATATTACAATCATACAAAACTATTATCATTTCTGTTCGCATTGAAATATCTTATATATATTTTGCAATAATTTCAAACTCAAACAAGCATTGTCACTTATAAATACATTTTGATTGTATTCTGTGAATATATTAATTATTATAATTAGTTGTGTTAATAAGTACTAATAGTCGCAGTAACAGTCATTTATAATGAGAACAATTCATATGATATCATACACATTCAACATCCATAACCAATTACATAAGGAAAACACTATTCTTCCATTTTGTTACTGGGCTACAGAAATTTGTAAAACACAATCGCTGATCCAATTTTCCTATTTTCGTCATTTACAAATCTAATTATGCTATAAAAATAGCTGTTATTTCCAAAGCGATTTGTATTTTCCTTATCATCATTATTTACATCTAATTATACCTGCAGTATTTTTAAGTTATGAGGAAAAAGCCGAACAGCTTACATTTTGTTTCAAGTTTTAAACATTGTCATATATACAATATTTGAAATATTAATTCAAAAAATAAGTTTGCAATTTTTGCAACAAAAAAAATTGCAAAGTTATTTTCAGTTATTTTTTTTATTTTTTTAAGCGTTTAAATGCTTTATGTTTAAATCTAAAGAAAATTTTACTACAAAAACATCCACTCGGGCCAGGCAGCAGACGGGACTCGAACCCGCACCCTTGGCTATCCGGGCGAATGCACTGACGTAAGTGTAAGTTATTTTCGTTATAACTTTGCAATTTTTGTGACGTGAAAGCTGTTCAGATTAAAATAATTTATTTGATGTTAGAACAAGGGAATGATTTAACTGAATAAAATAAATTGCCTACCATACCAATTCTAAATGTATTCATTTTTGTGTGAAGTTGCGCCCGCGCATAGAGAAGCTAATTAAATTTAGTGCATAATTGAGTCACTCTTTGTCTCATTTAATTGCTACAATAAAGAAAGGGACATTATCAGAGCAAACTTAAAAGTTAATTGACATCTGTGAGTGCGGTCGTTATAAAACTGTTAAAAATACAAGAAAAATTGTGAAGAAATAGTTACATATGTATTCATTCATTAAAAAATGAAACAGTATATATAGTATTTTGTGTTAATTTCGTCATTAATAATGACGCAGATTAAAGTTAGTATATTTAGATAGTAATTTTATATGATTGTGTATTACTAATTATGTTGATTATATATACACAGTCGCTGTGTTGCTTTTCATTGTTTTATATGTTATATGTTAAGCAAAGAAAAAAAAATGGAAATAAAAATATAGATATAATATTTGTATAGAAATTGTAGTTTCATTATCTACCGGAAACACTATCTTTAACATCCGTACCTTCTATACCATACAATACAAGCTTAACAAAACATTAAGTGTAACGTATAAAGTTAATAGTCACATATAGAAGTGCATGACACTAAGCTGGCAACAGTGTTGCCCGGTCTCCACATTTTACAGAATGATTTTCTTAGAATACGATTTTCCTTTTTTAAATTGCATGTTAAGTTTCAATTTCTTCCATTAGTAATGTCGGTAACCTTAATTATTATAAAATAAATGTTACTGTCTAAAAAAATGAGCTTTGACGGGCGGCAGGAGCCACAGAAACACATTCGTCACTGGCTTATATCTTGATTTGATTTTCCAATTCTAGGGAGGGGGGTACGCCGTAGTACGCCTCTGTATCTACTGTTTTTTCTTGTACCTCTTTTCATACCTCTACTGTTTTTTTTCTATAACGCCTCCCGATTTTTAAATATCGGACCTGGCAACACTGGCTGGCAACACCATAGCTCGAAATCTGCAATTCGATTGGACATTCTCACCAACACCAAGTGCCGTCCGCGCTAAGCTATCCTTTTTCGACACTTTTCTTGCGAAACTGAAGCGACTATTGAAATTCTTTGCTTTTATTCTTACAAAATATTATTTATTTACTAATTTAGTACACACCCACAATAAAACAGATAAGAACAGGAACAAGAAATTTGTACAAGGGCACTACTTATTTCATATTGAAATTTCTTCCAGCAGGCTCGCGAAAGGAAAAAACGTAAAATAAAGGTCGTCATGGTGTGCCTCCTGAATATAAATGACAAAATACAATACTTACATAAACAAAACCTACATAGATGTACAAATAAATATATATACTAAAATAAAATATACTAGGGTTAAAAGGAGAAGCAATACAGTTCGGAAACAGTGATTCAAGAGGATAAATAGTGTTTCTTCAACCGGTTTTTAAATGTAGCAACAGTTGGACTGTCTCTGATTCCTGCTGGCAGCGAGTTCCTTAAGCGGACAGCATGTACCGTGAAATAGTATGATGCTAATTCGGTTTTATGAATAGGTCATTTAGGTTCTGATTTGAGATGGGACCTGCAAGGAAAATTAGGAGAGTGGATATTAATTTTAAAACTTAATTCAAATATTTAAAAGGACATTGTTCAGCGTCCATACATAGTTAGCCTAAGAACCAACAATCATGAAATATTATTTTCTAGGTTCAAAATCGTAAGTAAATGACTAAAAACAAAGATTACTGACGGACACTTCTGAGAACTTAAATTATTAGGAAAACTAAATTTTTTTGAGGTTATGTTTAATATTCGATGAAACATAGGTCAACCTATGAATTTAGTATAAACTCAGTATGAAGTGAATTAATATTACAACTAATTCATTTTATTCGGTGCGATTTTAAAGAATAACTATTAGGAAAAACTTGGTTAGGTAGGAATCACGAATAAAATAAAAACTGTAGTTTTGCGTTTTCGGCCTTTAAGGAAGGAGTACGCTCTTTTTTTGAAGGTTTTTGGGTCGTATTGGTCCGGAAACACTGCTGGCGACAATATATTCCACAGTTTTGTCGTATGTGGTAAAAAATTTCGACAAAAACGCACGGTTGTGGATAGCCACGCATCAAGATGATGGGGATGAAATTGCAAGCTTGCGGTAGAGGCGAAGTAAAAATTCATTCATAGACATGTAATTATCGCTGTCTTACTTTTTCGTATAGCGCTGTCGCGACCACGATGCGGATGACAAATTGCAACTAAAACAAATGCGATTCAATTCATTATTCAACCAATGAAATGCTCTCTGTCTTACTTTTGTGCGGCGGCCCGATTTGGCGCGTCCGATGCGAAGGCGAGGCGTAGTAAAAACTACCGTAGAAAACCGTTCAATGCATTTTGTTCGCGAAGTGACAGAGCGCAAAATTCCGCGGTAGTACCTACAAAATGTAAAACTTAATTATGTAGATTTTGATTATATGAGTACTGTTACTATTGCCACGTTACAGAATCGAAACGGACGCAGACGGCGCGGGCGGCGTGGCGCAGCTAACTTAACTCGGCCAACGACCAGTCTCGGCGGCGCG